TGATAAGATTGTAACCTCAGAGGAGGGGCCAAGGCATCGGGATAGAATGTATATAATGTGTGTCTTTGTTGTGACTAGGTGTGGCTCAAATATTTATTTGGAGTCCACCACGCTTTGCAAACCGTTATATCCAATAAATCTCTGTCTAATTTCAACTTGCTGTTTGGTGTTATTCAGTGGGCTAGAATTTCTACCAACAGTTCTGGCGTCCAACTTTGGGGCTCGAGACCGGGATCGTTTGTCTGCACCAGATCCGGAAGGTGACTTGGAAGGCATGCCCTGTCGATTTCGACAGTCTATGCCATCTTGTTGGTAAAGGAGCAGCAACGCTTTCCTCGGCGAACCCATAGAGTTGATGTTGGACAGAGATAAGAATTGAACCAGTGTGTGTGTTGCTGGCTTCCGGGAACTGGGCAACTCCGTGCACGGACCTAGGTAAGTGTTCTGGGGTGGCCAGTATACACTGCCTAGGCAGTCGGTGGGAAGGCTGGGTAGGCTTGTGTGAATTTGAGACAGTGTGTGTGTGACGTCCCAAGTATCCGCTTAGCGGATAGCAAGACGGAGCGAGAGTGGACCGCTGATAACTGTAGATTCACGCAAGTGCATATCTAGAGGGATCAGGGGGAAGCGAATTGAGGAGTATACGTGAAGTCTCAGTTAGAATACACAGGACGGTAAACCAGTATGGGCAACACAGGGAGTACTCCAGGAAAGAAGTGTTTGAGAAAAATAAGGAGGAACCCCAAATTAAATATAGATAAAGAAAGTCCATTAGGGACTTTGTTGAGTAATTGGGGAAAACCTCCATATAATGAAATAATTAGTAAAATAAACATAACCAAGGAAGATATGGTTAATTTGTGTTGTTTTGTCTGGTGGGAAGTTGAAAAAGTAGAGTGGCCTAGATTAGGAACAAATGACTATTTTGCTTGTCAGAATTTATATGAGTATGTGTCAAGGAAAACATGTAGATCATTAGTCAATGAGTTAGACTATGCTTTAATTTGGAACCCAGGTAAATGGGTCACCTTGACTATGAGGGGCCCTAGCCCTCATAAAATAACCTCAATATATTTACAAAAAGAAGAAGAAGATGATGATGAAAAATCCATGAAATATTTACCCCCACCTTATAATCCTAATCCACCACAACCAACAAATGTACAAATACCTATTCCACCACCCCTACCAGCTCCTGTAACACAAGCCCAGGGAGCTGTGAGAGGTGGACCCTATAAGGTATTAGTAAAAGAATTGGAACAATTGAAGAAAGATATAAAGAATTTTCCCTTTAAGGATAAACCAC